CCTGCTGCTTTTCCTGGGTTTATCATGCCTGGTTCTTCCCTGCTGCAACAATTTCCTGTCCTTGCCTCGTAATTAAGCTGCTGACTGTTTCTGTCATTGCCAAAATCCCCAAATAAGTCCCACGCTGGCACCTCGCAGCCAAGGGATGGGAGCAGGCACCTGGGGTGGCAGCAGTACGCGGGTGGACGGAGCTCCCTGCCTGGTCTCATGGCTCCCACATCCCTCTGTGCTCCGGACCCACCACCCGCGCGGCAGGGACCTGAGCAGGGCTGGCGGCATGGGGTGGGAGCACTCGCTTCTGCCTGCTGCTCTCCCTGCTCTGGATTTTACAAGAGCCAGCGTGAAGGGCTTATTTGCTGGAAGAGGAAGGAGAGGACGGAGTGAGGCAGTAAACCCTTCCACCCCTTGATTGCTCTGTACAGTGGGCAGAGCTGGAGGGACACCAGGACAGCCACTGCTGGGCAGTTACCACGGCTGCTTGCTGGTTTGTCCCGCTGGTAGCTTGAGCTCCCAAAGCTGAGCCCAGCTGAAGAGGCTTTAAACACTTCCCTAGGGCTCTGTGATTCTCTGCCCATCCCTGGCAAACATGCCAGGATAGTTGGGGGTCCAGGGAGCTTGTTCTTTCTGTTGCAGAAAATCTGCCCAGCCCAGAGGATGGAGACGGTGCAGCACTGCTGGTGAGGAGAAACAAGTATGGGGACGTTGTGGAGTAGCCCGTAGAGCCCAGCACATCGTGCCCATGTCCTGCTTCACCCCTTCCTGCCTGCCCAGCCTGCCTGTGCTGCCCGCGAGACTGGTGGGCTCTGCAGCACTGCCTGGGAGCTCAGATGAGTTGATCCTGCAGCGAGAGCGTGGTGGAGGCACCGTAGGGGTTGCTGCCTCCCAGGTGGCCTCTGAACATCGCACGTGGGGGGCACAATAAAAGTTGAGAGCTGAAAGCGCATGTTGTGGACAAAGCGAAGGTTGGTGGTGGGGAAGGAAGAGCTGGGGTGCAGGTGGTGTCACCCTGAGGCAGCCCCTGCAGTAAATGTTGAAGCTGAGGGCTCTGGTACCTCTGAGGCCATGGCACCCACGATCCAACAGCACCGGGCTGTGGAGGGACTGCGGGCATGGATGGGTCTGAGCTCAGCTGTGAGGGGGCAGAGCTGTTGCCGTGTGCTCTCCGCTTTGTGACCCTCGCCAGTCACAGTGTCCCTGCCCCGTAGCAGTGGGGCTTTTCTCGTCTGCCCAAATGGGGCTGAGCTGAGCCCTGCAGCTGCCTGGCCTCTGGGGGTGTCCTCTCTGCCCCCACAAAGGGGCTGTACAGGTGCCCAGAGCCCCTCTGTGTGGTGCCCAGCTTGCTCTTGGGGCATGTCACCTGGCCAGTCCCAGACTCTCCATCCAGATCTGTAACCAGCCAGCAAGGAAATGGTACTGTCTTGAATCCCGCACATCCAGAGGGGCACATGGGAGGATTAAGAAGCCTCTTTTACTTCATTTTTTCCTACTAGCGTACCCCAAGTCATGACTGGGGCAAACCAGCTGCTCTTGGTGGATGTCCAGTTCTGATTCAGCTGCAGCTGATTTTCTTAGAAGGGGAAGCCCAGTGTGGGTTCTGGAAGCTAGCTGGTTTCTTAGAGCAGAGCAGCAGCGTTTTGGCTTCAGAGATCACAAATCATGGAATCACAGAATGGTTTGGGTTGGAAGGGACCTCAAAGATCATCTTGTTCCAACCCCCCTGCCGTGGGCAGGGAAACCCTCCACTACACCAGGTTGCCCAAAGCCCCATCCAACCTGGCCTTGAACACTTCCAGGGATGGGGCAGCCACAGCTTCTCTGGGCAACCTGTTCCAGTGCCTCACCACCCTCTGAGTGAAGAATTTCTTCCTCAGATCTAATCTAAATCTCCCCTCTTTCAGTTTAAAGCCATTGCCCATTGTCCTGTCACTACACACCCTTGTCCAAAGCCCCTCTCCAGCTTTCCTGTAGCCCCTTTAGGTACTGGAAGGCTGCAGTAAGATCACCCTTTTTTTCCCCGGGCGAACCAGCCCCACCTCTCCCAGCCTGTCTCCATAGCAGAGGTGCTCCAGCCCTCGGATCATCTTCGTGGCCCTGAAATGCCTCCTTCCATGTGACAGCTGGGGACAGCCCCTGGCGCTCCCCGTGGGAGGGAGTCCCTGTGCTGGGGAGACAAGGGGCCTGGGGAGGAATCTGGTTTTGGGGGCTCAGAACATCATCTGGACTGACGTCACGCTTGGCCTGTGCAGAGAGAACGGCTAAAAGCCAAGTGGCTGCGGGGAACAGGCGGGTTGAGCCAAGCACAGTCCCGGGAGCTCGGCTGGAGCAGGGAGGGCAGCGAGAAACTGCAACTCCCGCTAAAGCCGCTCCTCTCCTGGGGTGCGTGGAGGAACGTGGTGGGGTGGGAGGCTCTTTCCAGATGGGCTTGACAAGTACGGGCTGGCGCCGC